CACCTGCACAAGGCAAGCCGAACCCGCCGGATACGCACTGACCGACGGGGTCGCCCGGATTGAAGGCCATCTCACGGCCAGACACCGCAGTGTAGCCGGCGGGGAACGCGTCGCTCAGGTCGCACGTCGGAGCATACGTGCAGCAGGTGGGTGTGTTGTTGACGTGTATTCCGGGAATTGATCCCGGCTGGCCTCAAGACCAAGTACTCTCTCTTACTCTTTGGAGAGAGACCAGAGAGGCCCGAGAGCGATGTGTACTGTGTGTCCGGAGAGTCCCAGTCCGCCTTGTGCGTTGTGGCCCTTGGCTAGTTCCAATTCACTCTGACACGCTAATCTTGAAAACGTCCAACGGAGCTCCGTGTTGCTCCCAGCGCCCTCCCCCGCGCTCCCTGCGGCCATGGCCGATGATGCTAGTATGAGAGGTCATCTGGCTACCGCGAGAGCGACCCAACTCGTCGACATCGTCCGATGATGGTGCCGCAAAGTCGCCTTCGGAGGCTATCGTGGGGTCGAGCCGGCAGTAGCCGTGACATGTGGTTCCACCACCCCTCGTAGGCTTTGCCTCTGGCAATGGGATGGAAAGGAAGGCTGGGCGAGCGTATAGAAGCGTGCTCGACCTCGTCGTGGCAACCTGCAAGGCAGCGCTGGTAGGCGCGATGAATGAGCGTCGTGCCACCTGACCCGAGACGGGTCGCAGGCGTCGTACCGAGCGCGTCAAGTCCGTGTACTGATGTGCTCTGCACGGGCAAGTCACGTCGGAAAGGAGCGACGTGCGACTTGTCAGAGCTTGATCTCCGATCTCAGCGGCGTCGAGTCGTCTCCGGCGGCGACAATTTGGTACATCTCCAGGACGCGCAGAGGCAGTTGTGACCCCGGTCCCCGCTGAGTGGACGGCGGTACTCCGCGCCACCTGCCGAGTACCGCCGTCCACTCGGCGGGGTCGCAGCTGCCTCTGGAAGGCACCGAGAGGGACAATTATGTATGTAAAAGAGGAATGCAGAAGAGAGGGGAGGGACGCGGCCAGAAAGTGACAAAGAGAGGTTCGCGTTTATGTTGTTGCGTGTCTTAATTTCCAGCAACGAGCAAGCAAACCCTGCCTAGACGAGTACAGCTAAACCTAAAGAGTACCCGGGGCTCCCCACCTCCGTGCGAGGGCCCCTAAAGAAAAGTTGTTTGAGAAAGGGTGTTGTCTGTTGAATATTCCAGGCAGGGTAGGTAGAGGGTAGTTAGTCTCAGCCTAGCTAGCGCAGCGCGAACTCGCCGTCTGAGCCTAGCGCAGCGCGAACTCGCTCTGAGCCTAGCGCAGCGCGAACCCGCGCACACAAAAGCTTTTGCGCAGCAACCCGCGGCCGGGCAACCCTTTAAAAAAACTTATTTTTAATAGGCATTGCGGCTAGAATGAATATTCGGTCGCCCCGCCCCCAAAACGGGCTTCTTGGGTGGAAAGAAATGCCACGACTAGTGCGCAAATTGGTCAAAATCAAGGTTTTGTAACGCGAGCTGTGCCACAGTGAAATGGCACTAGCCGAGAGCGGAGAGGTACCAAATGGCGCAAATCGGACCAAAATCAAGTTCAAGATTGTGTAACGCGGGCTGTGTGCCACTGTGAAAACTGAAATGGAACTCTAGCCCTTGCGTGCGTGTTTTTGGCGGTTTGTTCAATAAAGCCGTGACAAGCACGGAGCTAGCTCAGAAAAAAACGACGCAACAGAAAGCCGAGCAGCTGCAAGCGGCGTTCTGCCCCCCTCAGCTAGTATCAGGGATCAGCTTGTTGCTGGCGATCGCGACCGACGCTGCGGCGGCGGGCCGGCGTAGTAGGGGAAACGGCTCGAGCGCCCGCTTCCCACGTTCCACAAGGGCCCGCCGCGCAGCGTTTCGGCGGTGAAGGTCGGCAGCCCGCGCGGCTCGCGCTGGTCGTTGGTCATGCCCGCGAGCGACGGCCACACGTCTAGGTGCGGCGCGCAGCTGTCGACCGACTCGTACGGGACGACTTCCCCCTGCAGCGCGACGGCACCGTTCCACGCCATCGTGTGGAATGACGAGCACATCGAGCCGACGAACACGGAACCGCGCGCGAGCACGCGCAAGTCGTCGAGCGCCGAGACGACCACTGACGCGTCGAGGTCGTCGCGGAACTCGATCCACCGCCTCTTGCGATCGGCGAGAGTCAAGTGGCCACCACCCCGGCCGTGCAGCTCATGAGCGGCCACCGCAAGCTTCGATCGGTTCCACGGCCGCTGGTGCACGGGCGCGCCGAGGGCGGCCGCCTCGCGCGCGAACATGCGCGCCGCCTCGGCGGAGTCCGTCGCGAGCTCGATCGAACCAACGGGCCTGTGCAGGCGCGCCAGGCGGCGGAGGAGCAGCCGGAGCGCCTCAAGGTAGACGACGGGATGCGCGCAGTGGCGCTTCTGCTGGCTCCACCGCGTGCGCAGTCGCGGGTCCCACACGCCCTGGAAGAGGTTCGGACTGAGCCGCCCCATTTCGACCACATCACACGCGTCGCCGCCGCGCACCGCCACCGAGACGTTGACCGCGCCGGCCGTCGACGCCGCCGGCTCCATCCCCGCGAAGAGTTTCGCCGGCAGCGCGCCCGGTGGCCAGGGCGCTGGTCCAGGCTCGAGGAGGGGAGAGCGCCGGTCGCCGCGCAAGAGGATGTTACGAAGAACGACGAGCGCCACGAGCGTCTTGTTGCGGCTCGCAAGGTGTCCGCCACGCGCAGCAAGCGAGGCCGGGCACGCCGCGGTGTGCGCGGTGTCGGGCGTCCCATACATACACTCCCACGCGTCGATATCGTCGCACCCGAGCCAGCGCGCCCACTTGTCGTCACGGCCGCGGTGCGACCTGAGGCGCCACGACGGATGAGGGAGCTGCGCGATCGCCATCGTCATCTGTAGCAGCCCTTTTCCGAGCGCCGCGTCCACACAGCGCAGGCCGCGCGCACACATGAATCGCGTCGCGTCCAAGACCGGCATGGTGGCGCGGGCGAGGTGGCACTCCACAGCGGCCAGCTCGGAGCGAAGCTCCATTTCACTTGTGGGACGGCGTCTCTCTCTCGAGGTTCTCGAGGTGGATATCCTTTGGCCGCGTTGGGTAGCGAGGATTGGTGTAACCCGAGCCACGGAGTAACATATACTGTGGGAGACGGCGTCTACAAAAAAAGAAATAGACGCGAAAGCGGAGTTTTTGACCCCGCTCTCACACGCCACTGAGATGCCTGCTCTATTTATTTATGTCTTTAGGCAAAGACTTATTCAGGCATGTCCGTTTAGTCGACCCCGTCCTACAACCGCAGCCTAGATAAATGTCTTGTGTGCTGTGTGTTGCACGTCCTGCGAGAGCGGGGCGGGGTGCGCGCTGTGCCTCGGGGTTCGTGCGTCGCCCATCTCTCCGGGGGATGTCTGCCCTATTTATTTATTTAGTCGAGCCTGTCTGCGGTGACGGCACACCACCGGAGCCGCCTAAGCGACTCCGTTAAGAGCGGCAATGCACTTAGCACCGTGCACAATGCCGCTCTCCCCGCACGCTAGCTCGTTCACCGTCTGCCACGCCACGGCGGTGTGGAGAACGACAGACAAGCGCTGCATCTGCAGCCCGTGCCAGTTCTTGGTGGTCCATGTGACCTCATCGAGGTGCTGAGCGTGCGAAAGTTGTAGAACTCGAGAAACGCCCGCCGGATACACACGATGGCCTCCCACCGCATCGGCGCGCGCGTCGCGGGCCTCTCGCCAGCGCAGCTGTGCGCCATCATCGAGGCGCAGGCGGGCGCGAGCGACGCCGCGCTGCGCGTGGCGGAGGAGCACGCTGCACGGCTCGTGGAGCAGCCCGAATGGGTGCTCTCCGAGGTCCTCCTCTCGCCGGACCTCGCCCCGCACATCCTCGCCCAGCTGCCGACCACGGAGCACGCCATCAAGGGGACGTGCCGCGCGTGGCGCCGCGGCTGGAAGGAGACGCTGAAGAAGCGCGAGAGGCCGCGCATGCTCGTGATCGGCGGCCACAACAGCGATGGCGAGTTCCTCAGCTCGCTGGAGCGGTACGACCCGTCTACGAATGAGTGGGAGGAGGAGGCTGTGGCGCCGATGCCGACGGCAAGACTAATTGTCGGCACGGCGGTGCTCGATGGCAAGCTCTACGCGGTGGGCGGCGAGAGTGAGGAGGACGGCGCAAATTCCAACGTGGTGGAGCGGTACGACCCGGCTACGAACGCGTGGGAGGTGGTGGCGCCGATGGCAGAGGCACGGCATTCTCACGCCGTGACAGTGCTCGACGGCAAGCTGTACGCTGTGGGCGGGTACAACGAAGACGGCCGCCACCTCAGCTCGGTGGAGCGGTACGACGCGGGGACGAATGCGTGGGAGGCGGTGGCGCCGATGGCGACGGCGCGGGAGGCTCACGCCGTGGCGGTGCTCGACGGCAAGCTGTACGCTGCGGGCGGGTACGGCGGTGGCCGCCTCAGCTCGGTCGAGCGGTACGACCCTGGGTTAGATGCGTGGGTGGCGGTGGCTCCGATGGCGGCGGCGCGAGCTGATTTCGGCGTGGCGGTGCTCGACGGCAAGCTGTACGCTGCTGGCGGGCGTGGTCACGACGGCGTCCTCAGCTCGGTGGAGCGGTACGATCCCGTGACGAACGCGTGGGAGGCAGTGGCGCCGATGACTACAGTGAGGACGTTGCTGGCCGCGGCGGCGCTCGACGGCAAGCTGTACGCTGTGGGCGGGTACGACGGCGACGATGGCACCCTCAGCTCGGTGGAGCGGTACGATTCGACAACCAACGTGTGGGAGGCGGTGGTGGCGCCGATGGCGTCGGCGCGGATGGATGGGTTCGCTGCCTCCTTGATGTAGTCCTTGTCACACACACACACACACACACACACACAGATTGTGTGTTCTCGTGCGAAAAGAAACTGGTCCGGATGAGCGTAGAAAAGGGCGGGGACCTGTTCCTTTTTACCCTTTCCAGTTTTATTTATTTATTAGAAAAAGAAACCGCGCGCGGACCTAGACATGGCCTCCCACCGCATCGGCGCGCGCGTCGCGGGCCTCTCGCCAGCGCAGCTGTGCGCCATCATCGAGGCGCAGGCGGGCGCGAGCGCCGCCGCGCTGCGCGTGGCGGAGGAGCACACTGCACGGCTCGTGGAGCAGCCTGAGTGGGTGCTCTCCGAGGTCCTCCTCTCGCCGGACCTCGCCCCGCACATCCTCGCCCAGCTGCCGACCACGGAGCACGCCGTCAAGGGGACGTGCCGCGCGTGGCGCCGCGGCTGGAAGGAGACGCTGCCGAAGCGCGAGAGGCCGCGCATGCTCGTGATTGGCGGCTTCGGCAGCGGTGGCGAGTCGCTCAACTCGCTGGAGCGGTTCTACCCGTCAACGAATGAGTGGGAGGAGGAGGCTGTGGCGCCGATGCCGCGTCGGCATGCACGGTAGCGCGCATGGCGGTACTCGATGGCAAGCTCTACGCGGCGGGCGGCGAGAATGACGACGACGGCGCCCTCAGCTCGGTGGAGCGGTATGATTCGGCGCTGGATGCGTGGGAGGCGGTGGCGCCGATGGCGGAGGCGCGGAGCGACCATGGTGTGGCGGTGCTCGACGGCAAGCTGTACGCTGTGGGCGGCTTCAACAACGACGACGACTTCCTCAGCTCCGTGGAGGGGTACGACCCGGCGTTGGATGCGTGGGAGGCTGTGGCGCCGATGGCAACGGCGCGGTATGCTCACGCCGTGGCGGTGCTCGACGGCAAGTTGTACGCGGTGGGCGGGCACGGCGGTGGCCGCCTCAGCTCGGTGGAGCGGTATGACCCGGCGCTGGATGCGTGGGAGGCTGTGGCTCCGATGGCGGCGGCGCGAACTGATTTCGGCGTGGCGGTGCTCGACGGCAAGCTGTATGCGGTGGGCGGGCGTGGTCACGACAGCGTCCTCAGCTCGGTGGAGCGGTACGATCCCGTGACGAACGCGTGGGAGGCGGTGGCGCCGATGACTACAGTGAGGACGACCCTGGCCGCGGCGGCGCTCGACGGCAAGCTGTACGCTGTTGGTGGGCACAACCACAACGGCGCCTCCCTCAGCTCGGTCGAGCGGTACGATCCGGCTGCCAATTCGTGGGAGGCGGTGGCGCCGATGGCGTCGGCGCGGCTGGATGGGTTCGCTGTCTCCTTGATGTAGTCCTTGTCGAGGTGCGAGAGGTGCGAGCCGGTGGAGAGAGATGTTGCGAGGTGGTGGTTGTACAAGGAGGTGTGTTGGAGCACTTGGAGTGCAGTCATAAGCCTCCTTTTTCTCGCGCTGCCACCGGCAAAAAGAAAGACGCAAGAATATTTCTTTGATATTGAGGGGGTCTTGAGGGGGAAGCCAGCGGAGCGCCTCGGGCGGGCGGTGTACAGGCTGGCCGCTGCCCGGGCCGCTGCGATCATACACATATGGCGGCCCCACTGCAGCTTGCGGGCGACGGCGTCAACACCACGAGCGACACGACCGACACCACGATCGCGGCTGCCGAAAAGGCTTTCGGCGTGACCGTGAGCCGCGGCGCTGCCGGCGAGCATCTGTTCCGCAACAACGCTTGGTCGCCGCTGGAGTACGCGCGCAATGGCAGCCGCGACCTCTACATCACCGAATTCCGGTTGGAGCGGTGCTCCGCCTACAACACGCTCGTCAAGTACGTGCTGCTGCCGGTTCTTGGGCGGGTGGCGTACCGCCTCCTCACAACCGAATATCTCGAGACCTTTGGTCCGTGCGCCGCCGGGCCGTCGGCCTCGACGGTCGGCGATCCGATCGTGGCGTATGTGGACGAGAGGAGGCGTTTCGTGGAGAATGGCAGCAGCTTCGGCGGCGCCTTTCCCGGCGAGCTGGTGCTGCAGACGTTCGTAGAGGGCTCGCCCGAGAGCGGCTTCGTGTACGTCTTCGACGGCGCGATTCGCGGCCGGGTGCGGGTGACGTGCAAGCTGAGCCCCGGATGCTGGCTGTGCCCGTGCGGCTGCTCCTGATGAGGTGGTTCCTCTCTGTGCGAGTAGAGAGATACACGCGGAATCTCGCGGACAGACTGCTTTGGCCTCCTGTTTTAGAGCGAGGCAAGCCCGCAGCCCCGACCGAGCCCGGCCCCGGCGATGAAAGGTGACCGGCGCGCTCAGCCACCTGCGCTGTCTCGACCACCTTCGCTCCCTCGGCCGCCCAATCCCTCTCGACCACCTGCACTCGGGAGAGGCATGCTTGGCGTCTGGCAAAGTCCTGTGGCGGAAGTCCTGCGGAAGTCCTGCGGAAGTCCTCTCCTGCGGAAGTCGGAAGTCCTGCTGTCGCGCAGCCTGCCGAAGCCTGCCGAAAGCCTGCCGAAGCCTGAAGCGCGGACGCCTGCACCGCGCGGAGGGGCTGTGCGCGCGTCGAGGAAAGCGCGTGGTGGTATCGCGGTGTTGCGCCGCGGATTGTGAAAGATTTCCATTTTCCCCCAAACGTGAGGTTACTGACTGCACTCCAAGTGCTCCAAGTGCTCCAAACGAGGGATGGGAGGAGGAGTTGTGTGTGTGTGTGTGTACGGGAGGAGGATGACAGGGTCCCCACGTGCACGAGCGCAGGATTCTTGCCGAGAGAGTAAGGCTGCACTTGGAGCACTTGGAGTGCAGTTGGCAGCCTCACATCCAGGGCCGGGGAGCTAAGAAGCGCACCCAGCACCTTGATTGAAATTCTTTTCTTCCCCTTACTCAGCCTCGCCGACACCCTCCCCGCACAATATCAATAACGAATAAGTCGGAGAGAGAGATTTTTGAAAACCAACAAGAAATCACGACGTTCACAAGTGCTCAAGATCCCTCACACCAAGATCGTGCAGGGCGGGGACACATGTCCCTAAATCCCATCTCGTCTCAGAGTTTGACCGTTTTTATTTATTTATTTCACAAGTGCTCACTGTGATTTGGGCTCGGGAGCTTGTCAACCCTCAGCCGAAGCTGGGGCCGGTCCCGTAGCCGAGAGAGCCTGCGTCGATGAATTCGACGCGGTCGGGAGGCCTTGCGGAGAGACCAGCTCGAGTTGACGAGTACTTTATGGTGCCATCCAGTGGCCGGCTGACTACGTGACTAGCCAGAGGTCGATACTCTGGATGGACGGCCCATACGTGTAGGATGCCACGACTGCCTGAAGTCGGAGAGAGAGAGAGCACTTAGAAAAAAACAAATTGTTTTTTCTAAGTCGGCATCGCTTTTCTGTCAAGCCGAGCGTCTAATCTTTGGCAGCCAACCCCGCGGCCCACCCAGGGAACCCTCCCCAAGAGCCGTGCCTGCCGTCGGGGTACGGGTGGGATTCCTGCTCGGGGGGCGGCGCCTTTTTCTAGGCGCCCGCCTTAGAGGGGTTGTGGGCCTAGCTTTTGGTATAAAATAAAAAGTACACGCTTTATGAAAAAAAATCTTTCGTCCCGTCCCACAGCAGCACGACGACTCCCCCCACCGGCCACACCGCGACCAGCCTCGGCTTGCTTGCTGCCTTGCTTGGCGGCGCGGCCGGCGAACGACCTCGAGCGCCTGAATCCGCCGATCCTGTGCCGCGAATTGCGATGGCCAACCGCCGTCGCGTCCTCACCGTTGGCGACGGCGACATGTCCTGCTCGCTCGCTCTGGCCAGAGCCTTTGGTGATCGGCTGCATCTGCTCGGCAGCACGCTCTGCTCGCATGTGGAGCTCGAGCGTACCTACGCCGGCGCCGCGGCCATATCGGCCGAGCTCAGTGAACGCGGCGCTCGAGTCGCGCACGGCGTGGATGCGACCGCCCTCGAGGCGGCCACGCTCGGCTCGTCGCAGGACCACGTCGTTTTTTGCCACCCTCACCTGGGCCTCTCTGACCTCCTGAGCGTGGAGGAGCACGCGCGGCGGCACACCGCCCTGATCGGCCACTTCCTCGCCTCGGCCAAGTCGCTGCTTGCGCCCGGCGGCCTGATACACCTCACGCTGTGCGGCAACCAGCGCGCTTCCTGGCGGGTGGACGACCACTGCCGCCGGCTCGGGCTCGAAATTGTGGACGGCAGGCACGTGGCGGCGCCGCCGCTGGGTGGGCGAGCAGGCGTGCCCGTCCCGCCCCAGCCCGAGTGGCGGGCGCGCAAGCGCTTCCGCGACGGCTCTCTCGGCTCGCGCCACGCGCTGGCGGCGTACGGGTATGAGCACCGGCGGACCGAGGGCGGCAGCGGCGGCGAGCGCTGCGGACAAGGTCGCGGAGCCGGTTCCCGAGCTGCCCTTGGGTTCCTCTTGTAGGCGACGGCGACGTGCGCTCGGACAAGTCGGTCGAGCTTGTGATTGCGGTCGGACATGTCCAGGACATGTCCAGGACACCTCTATGACATGTCCCGTAGGTCGAGCTGGTGATTGCGGAGGCCACGCCCACGCCTTGCGCCGGGCCGAGGCGGCGAGAGGACCAGGCGGTGGGGCCGCAGGCGGAGGAGAGAGAGAGAGAGACGAGAGAGACGCGAGAGACGAGAGAGACGCGAGACACAGCCTGGCCAGGTTGCGTCAGGGTTCGGGTACTGGGGGGGGGGGGGTAGGGGAGGGTTTCGGAGACACAGTCTGGCCAGGTTGCGTCAGGGTTCGGGTAATGGGGGGGGTAGGGGAGGGTTTCGGAAACACAGTCTGGCCAGGTTGCGTCAGGGTTCGGGTACTGGGGGGGGGGGGAGGGTTTCGGAAACACAGTCTGGCCAGTGACTGGAGTCCGTGTGTGGCGTGACCCAGGGGCGGAAAAACACCTTCGAGGGACTCGCAGAAACGCAACCCAAGGGACTCCCCCGGCGGGGGACACCCTCCCGCGTGCTGTTCGCAGGCGGAGTGCTGTGCCGTGTCTTGGACGGGCGGCAAGGACTGCAACCTCGCGCTACTGGCGGCGTGGCGGGACGCGTCGCTCCGCGTGGCGGCGCTCGTCGTCTTTCGGCCGGAGGGCGCCGTCTTCCGCGCGCACCCGCTGTGTTTGATGGAGGCGCAGGCGGCGAGCCTCGGGCTGCCGCTCCTGCACGTCGTCATCCCTCGCGACCCTCCCTCGTACAAGGAGCCCCTCCCACCACACTCACACGCACACGCACACGCACACGCACACGCACACGCACACGCACACGCACACGCACACGCACACGCACACGCACACGCACGCACACGCACTCATACCGCACACGCACACGCACACGCACGCACACGCACTCATACACGCACACACCTGCACGCACCACGCACGCACGCTCACCGCCGCACCCTTGCCTCCCCTCGCTACCTTAGGAAGCCTGCACCGCCGCACCCTTGCCTCCCCTCGCTACCTTAGGAAGCCTATGTGCGCGGCATCCGCCGGCTGCGCGAGCAGCACGGCGTGCGCGTCCTCGCGACCGGCGACATGGACTTGGTTGGCACGATGGCGCGCAACTGGATCGAGGAGTGCGCGGAGGCCGCGGGCGTGCGCGCCTTCTTGCCGCTCTGGCAGGCGGAGCGCGCGAGCCTCCTGCGGCGGCTGCTCGCCGAGCGCTTCCTCGTCTTCTTTTCCTGCGTCAAGAGCCCATGGTTCGAAGCCGGCTGGGTGGGGCGTCAGCTCGACGCGGCGGCCGTCTACGAGCTCGAGACGCTGGCGGCGCAGCCGGAGGCTCCGGCCGCGGCGGGTTCCGGCGAGCGCTACCTGGAGGGGTCGGTCCCCTACCCCCACGGTACCGCACCCATCCCCTACCCCCCACGGTACCCGAACCCTAGGCGAGCAGGTCAAGCCGCTCGACTTGGGCGGTGAGCGCGGTGAGTACCACACCATGTGTCTCGACGGACCGCTGTACGGCCGCCGCGTGGCCGTCACGCTGACGCAGCCGCTCGAGCTTCAGTCTCAGCCGGGGCAGCGGGAGGGGGAGCGCTGGTGGACGCTCGGCTTCGCCGAGGGAAGCGTTGAGGCCGGGTGCGCCGCAGCAGCCGATGCCGCCGCTGCCACCGGCGAAGCGCCCGTGTCAACCACCACCGACGCCGACGCAGACACCGGCCTGGAGGCGTCAGCTGCGGTGCAGACGTTGCGTGTGTACCACGCCACGACGGCGGAGAAGGCAGAGAGCATTTTGCAAGGCGGCTTCCGATTCCCGAGCGTCGAGGAGTCGGTGGCGCGGGGCCTCAAGGCGGGTGCAGGGGCCCTTGCAGCCGCCCTCCCCAACCCCCACCCCCGGCCCCCCCCCCCCCCGCCCCCCGCCCCCCGCCCTCGCTCTCGCCCTCTCCCTCGCCCTCTCCCTCGCCCTCGCCCCCGCCGCCCTCCTACCCGCCGCCTCTGCCCCCGCCCTCGCCGCCGCCCTCGTCCCCGCCTCCCGCCCCGCCGCCGCCCTCACCCCCGCCCCCCTCCGGCCTGCTGCCACTCTCGCCACCAGCCGTCTACTTTGGATATTGCCGGCAGTACTGCCTCGACGAGGCGTGCAATACCTTGGAGGCGGAGGCGGAGGAGGCAAGCGCTGACAGCGGGGATGGCGAGGACGGGCAAGAGTGGCAAGAGGGTGGATCGGCGGCAGATGGCATCAGCGGCGACGGCGGCGACGGCGGCGACGGCGGCGGCGGCAGCGGCGGCAGCGGCGGCAGCGGCGGCGGCAGCGGCGGCGGCGGTCGCAACACATCAAACCGCACTCGGCTCCGCGGGCAGCTCGTCTGCCTTGAGGCCGAGGTGAGGGTTGGGCGTGCGCTGAGCCTCGGAGACTACCGGCGCGGGCAGCGCGGCCTGGCGTCTTGGCCGGGGATTGGGGGGCTTTCTCCCCGAAAAAAGAAAACTGGGGGGCGGAAGGGCCCGCCCACCCCTTTTGGGCAAAGATTATATAAGCGGCAAGGTTTGGGGAAAAAACCCCGGGGGTTTTTGGGGGGTTTTTTTGGCCCGGCAAGGGTATATTGAACCCCCCCCCACTTCTTTTGGAAACCCCCCCCCCCCCTCCCCTTTCACCAAGGGCTTTTTTTTTGCTTTTTTCCCCCCCCCCCCCCTTCCCTCCTACCCCCCCCCCCCCCCCCAAACGCAGGTACGACGCGGTCACCCTTAACGAGGGCACGAGGCGGGCAGAGCTCTGCGTGTACGACAGGTCGTCGATACGCTCGGTGCCGTAGAAGCGGAAGAGCGCATTCTTGTCTTCCGACCAGCGCTCGAGAGGGGACACGTACTCCGTTTCTATTCGGCCGTGCTCGGCTGTACTCATTGTATTCGCATCGCTCTCTTATTCACGCAGCGACATGAACACTCCGCACAAGACCGCCTGCCCGCCCCGAGGTTGGCGTACTGCCCACGTAGGCGCATATCTCCCCATATCTCCCCATATCTCCCCATATCTCCCGCCCCGAGGTTGGCGTACTGCCCACGTAGGCTCTGTGCGCCTCGCGCCACCCGCCGACACATCGACCTCCGACGCATCCTCCTCCGTCACGACGCCGTCGGCAAAGCGGACGGCGCCGCGCGCCCCCGTGGCGTCGGGTGGTGGGGCATCGTGGTGTTGCGCAGTATGCGGCCTCAGCTTTGGTGACGCCGCCACGCTCCGCTCACACGCCTTTGAGCTGACCCGTCCGGATGTGTGGGGCAAGCCCCTCCCCCCGCCACGCGAGGCGGCGAGGGCAGAGGCTGCGGGCGGCGACCTCAGTTGCTCCGTCTGCGGCGAGTCCTTCCCGTCGCGCAACCGCCTCTTCGCACACTTGCGCAGGCAAAAGCCCCCCCCCCCCCCCCCCTTTATCGATGTACCTCTGATTTTGTATACCTCTGTCCCCCCCCCCCCTCTTTTTGATCCTCTCCCCACTTGCGCAGCGGCTGCGCTCCCGAAGCGTCCGCCGGCGCCGCCTCGACCAAGCGCGAGCGGTTCAGCGCAACGGTGGGCTACATCGCTTGCGCCGCGGCCGCCGACGCGGCCGCTGTCGAGGAGTCGTTAGTGAAGGCTGCGCGCGTCGCTTGGGGCGTCGAGGGCGGCGCGGGAGCCTAGAAGCGGAATCCGTGGTCTTGTTTGTCGGCACCCCGTAGAGGCTGGAGTGGTCTTGTCAGCGCTCCTCCGCTGGATCCGGCGGTCTCCGGCCATGTCCAGCTGGTACTCACGGTATTCGTAGCCCCTCGTATTCACACGGTGCTGAAGAGTACCCGGCACAACCACCGTCCTCCCGCCCTGAGGTTGGCGTACTCACCACGCAGGCGTGGGAGCGGCCCTCCCTCCACGAACCTTCCACGAACCCTCCACGAACCCTCCTCGTATTCGCCACGCAGGCGTGGGAGCAGCCCTCCTCGTGCGGACCGAGCGCGGCGCCCACGCGCTCCGTTGTGTCGCCGTCCTCTCCCTCACTTCCGCCGGGGGCGGCCGCACAGCCTGCAGCGCCGCCGCTCTCCGCGAGGCGCTGCCGCCTAGCCTGTGGCTCCTTTCGGGCCCTTCGCCGCTGCCGACCGGCGGGCCTCTCGATGGCTTGCGCCGTGCAGTGCGGCGGCAGGTGTTCCGGTACGCGCTGCCCTATGCCGCGCTCGGCTCGTGCGCCGGCGCCGCGCGGGCAGGCAGGCCGCCGTGCCCGGGCGCTGAGACGCGTGTGTGGCTCACTTGGACGGCCGTAGACGCTTCCGCGTACCTCGACGGCTGCAGCGCAGAGGACGTCGAGGCGATGCTCGAAGAGGCGGTGTGAATAGGCAGGTGTGAATAGGCAGGTGTGAATAGGCAGGTGTGAATAGGCGATGCTCGTCGAGGCGGGCGTCGGCCGCGCCGACGTGCGCATGGCGCAGTGCGGCGGGTTCTGCGAGCTGGCGTTTGGCTGCGAGGCGGCGGCGGTGCACGCCGCTCAGCTGCTCGATCGGCGGGCGTGGCAGGGTGGACGCCTGCTCGCGCTGCCCCTCCCCGAGGCTTGCGCAAAGCTCGAAGTGCACCGCCGACTCAAGGCGCTCTTCCGCCGCCTCTCCTCGGGAGGCGCCGGCGGGCGCACGCGCGACTACTCCCCCTTCATGTCCGACAAGTGGCGGCAGCGAAACGCCCACCCGCTCCACCTCTCCGTTGCCGGCAGCTCCTCCATTCAGGGAGACTTGCGCGGAGGTCGCCATGGCGCCGGCGCCGCCGGCGGTGCCCGAAGATGGCAGTGCGACGATTGGGTCGTCGTCGAGCTCAGCGCGGCTGAGTTTGGGGCACAGCAGGTGCGGCGCATCATCGGCGCGGTTGTCGCCGCCGCGAGGGGCAGCAGCAGCGAGCAAGGCGCGGGCGCGTCGCTGGAGAAGCACTTTGGGGGCGACGCACTGCCGCCCCTCGCGCCAGTCGAGCCCCTGTGGCTGCATAGCCTTACCCTTGTCGATGGCACCAGTCTGACCGCCAGCGAGCAGTTGGACGGCGAGGTGCCGGCGCAGCGAACTGACGCGGAGACAGCCATCGAGCACGCGGTGATCCGCACGGCTCAGACCCCCATCGACGAGTTCGTTCGCGCTCTCGACGCTGACGTCTCGTTGTCCGGTGCCACTGCGGATGATGGGCATGGAAGCGCAGCCGGAGAGGGTGAAGGTGTTTACGAGAGGATGCGTGTGCGCGAGGGTCTCGCCACGCTGTCGCTGACGCCCCCAGGGCCCCGTGTTTCACGCTAATAATACAGTAAATAATAAAAGTTAAAACTTAAAAGGATCAAGCCCCGCGCCGTTTCGCTGATTCTCTTCTGCTTTGTGTTTTCTTCTTAATGCTGTGCTGCGCGGCCGTACTGGATAAACAACGTAAGGGTCCTAACCCCCTCGGCCTCTCGCAAACTAGAGATAAATCATCCGCGCCGACATCTGACTGGCTCGGGCTCGCTCGCTCTCGAAACGCGGCCGCCCCAAAGCCTGACTCCAGCTCCTCAAAGCACGGTGATCAGGGGTTCGACCACGGCTGTCACGAGTTCGACGGGCTGTGATCACAATGGTCGAAATTCTTCGAATTCTGTCCATGATTCGTATGGGCCGGCATAGCTGAATTTCTCCTCCGTCCTTGTTGTTGACGTTGCAGTCATGTTTGAGTTGATAAGCATGTTGATGTCAAGGCTGCTGCTGGCTGACGCGTCGAGCGAGGCCCAAGCCCCTCCGGACGACTTGGTGGCGACGGAGCAGCAGCAGGCGGCGAAGACACGCGAGTAGTTCCTGTCCGAACCGCCTGAGCCCTTGGCCAACCCCGCCAACTGTGAGACCGCCGTGACGTTCGCATTCACGATTTGCGACACCGTCGTCACTGCGTTCTGGCTCCGAGCGTAGGCCCCAGCGAGGAGGATCTCCTGCTTGGCGATTGCGCTCTGAACCGCCATCTCCATCTTGAGCTTTTTCTCGAGCGCCTGCTTCTCGAGCATGCCAAGCGGAGTGTCAACAGCTTCCTCCGAGGGCTCGACTCCGAGGACTGTGACTGTCCCGATCTTGATGCCGATGGCCGCTCCCGTCGCTTTCACGGTGGGGAACGAAGAAGCGCCGGTGGCCCAGTCGACCCGGGCGGAGTTGATTAAGTCGCCAACGCCGTCTGGGGAGTTGTTCTCGACGAACTTTTCGGGCTCAATCTGAAATCGGCACGGGCAAAGTGAAGATGAGGGCACGTGGGTAGATGGGGCGATTGGTCGCGGGGCAGTGAAGCTAGCGTTCACGTGCCTGAATACTTAACAACAGCTTCAGCGAGCCGGGAGCGCCGTCCGCGTCAACGACGCCGGGAGCATTCAGCGGCAACATCTGCGGCGCTGACGAGAAGTACGTAAACCTAAATTGATCTGGACCTCCCGACGGGTTGGACATATCGTACTGAGCCACATACGCGGTCGGTTCCGGCATTAAGAGGAGTGGGCCCTGCATCGGGACGGCCTTGTACGTGCCGGTCGCGTCCTTACAGTACATGCCAAACCAGTCTGTCGGGGACTTCGCGAAAAACATGTCCCTGACCATGCAGTTTGCGCCAGTGACAGGGCAGGTACCGTCGGCTGTCAGGTACCTGCAGACGAGGCGTGAGGCGCGTGTGCAAGGGAATCCCGCATGCCAGCGTCCGCGAGCGAGCGCACTTGGAAGTTGGGCCAGCTGTGTGGGTGACGACGCCGTCCGGCCCTGAGGACGCAATGTACTGGAAAGCCGAGGCCTTGATCAGCACGAGTGGCGTCACCTTGCCCGAAGTTTTGAAATCGCCCGGGCCCTTATAAACTGTGACCTTGTCGCTGATCGTCTCGGAGAAGGCCTCGCCAACTCCAATGACAACCATCGCGCGCGGGCGTGCTGCCCTATTTTGGGCCCCGTGTTTTATCCTTCGCCGACGGGCGCCGCGCCGGTAACGCATCTCGAGCCATCGTACCTAAAAATAGTATGAGCCCGATCCGTCGTAGAGTTCTTGCGCTTCGGCGGTTAGTGGTGCACTAACCTCCGAGAAACCCTTCGGGTCGCTCCTCATCGCAAACCCTGTCAGTCAGCAGAGTCCTCCTACGGGAATGTACGTAAGAGCCACATACACTGAGAGAGAAAATGATAAATGTGAGGACGGCACAGAACCTGGGAAGAAGGTGCGGGGGGAAGGGTCCAGCCAGGCGCGTAGGGCGCTTCGGCCGGCGGGGGCGCCGGAGGACCTCTCTCGGCCCTCGCTCACTCGCTCTTCCGTTCCTTCTTCCGCCGCACACGCCGCCGCAATCGGCGGCAGGCGCGGCCCGCTCCTCGTGCTGTATGTCCACACAAACGAGCCGCGCGCGTGTGGGTGCGCTCTCCGCGCCGCCCCCCTCGAGCCGCCCCCCGCCCCCCGGGTCCCCCATCCCCCCTCGCTGCCCCCGATGAAGAGTGAGGTTCGTAAGCGTCAACGTCTTTTCTGATAAATTCAAACCTCCAGTGCACGACGTGTGTCGCTCGCCTTGAGCCGGCGCGAACACACAATAACAACCCTCCCCCTCTCCCCAAACAGGCTTCTCGGAATGTGGAGCCTGGTGGACACCCTCGGGAGGGAATGGGCAACGAGGCTTCGAGCAACCATGGGCTGGGGCCGAGACGGATTCCCGACTAGGGCAGTGGGGGAATGCCCCCTTCCTCCTCGTAGTACTCGAACGAGCCGGATTCCCCGCCCATTAGTCCTCCTCCCGTTGCTGTCATAGCTGAGTTGATGATGGCGGTGACGTCGAATTGGGTGCTGCCCGACGCGTCGAGCGAGGCCCAAGCGCCACCGGACGTCTTGGTGGCGACGGAGCAGCAGCAGCAGGCCGCAACCCGCGAGTAGTTCTTGTCCGAGCCGCCTGAGCCCTTCGCCATCGCTGCCATGTTTGTGATCGCATGGACGTTCGCGTTCACGAGCTGCGACACCGTCACCACGGCGTTCTGGCTCTTTGCGTAGTAACCAGCGAGATACACCTCCTGCTTGGCGATTGCGCCCTGGACCGCCATTTCCATCTTTATCTTGTCCTGAAGCGCCTGCTTCTCGAGCATCCCCATCGGCGAGTCGTCGGTCTCAGTGTCATCGATACCGAGGGCAGTGACGCCGCTGATCACGAACCCTCCCGCCTTGCCAGCTGCCTTCATTTTTGGATAGCTAGTCGCGCCCGCAGTGTAGTCAGATCGCGCCGCCGCAATGAGCTCGCCCATGAGGTCGCCCGAGCTACTCGCGGCAAAAGTCGTAGGATTGATCTGTGCCGACAGCGGCAGGGGAGTGAGGAGAGCGCGGGAGCACGTGGGTAGGTGGCGAACAAGGGAGGGGCAGCGCCGCGAAGCTGATAGCTGCGCACCGCCAGAGACACAAGCAGCTTGAGCGAGCCACCGTCGACGCCGGGGACAACCATCGTCATGGTCTGCGGCGCCGACGAGAAGTAGGTGAAAGCAAACCCCTCCTTGGTTCCCGACGGGGAGGTCATGTCGAACTTCGCGACGTACTCCTCCGGTGCTGGCATGTATATGCAAGGCCCCGCAACGGGTGTTGGACTGTACGTGCTCCCCTCCTTCTTGAACACCACAAAGTGGTCCGTTGACGACTTGGCGAAAAACTTGTCCTTGACGGTGCACTTTGAGCCAGACATGGGGCAAACTCCTTCGTCCAGATACCTGCGGTGGAGGAGTGGGGCGTGTGTGTGTGCAAGTGGCCACCCGTCAGCGTCCGCGAGCAGGCGCACTTGGAGACTGGACCAGATTCGTTGGTGACGGTGCCGTCCGGCGCAATAGTCGAAAAGTACTGGAAAGCTGAGGCCTTTACCAGCGTGAGAGGCGTGACCTTGCCCGCCGTGCTGAATTCGCCCGGGCCCGTAAGGATGGTGACCTTGTCGGCGACGGTATCGGAGGCACCTTCGCAAACACCGAGGACAACCATGGCGGGGGGGCCACACGAGAGGACTGCCTTTTTGGCGCGGCCCGCGCCCTTTTTTCGTAATTTTAGTGGCGCAAACGCCGACGGGCGCCGCGCCGGCAAAGACATTGAAAAAGTAGAAATCCACGTGACGCGCACCGCAGCCCGCGGGGCCCCGCTGGGCGCCGCCGCGCGCCCCGCCCGGCACGGTTGGGGATGGGCCACAGTCTCCCCACCGACCGATCGATGGGAGATGCGGCGGATATCGGATGGGAGAGAAAGCAGAGAGAGGCCTGCACCGCAGTCCTGTAACTGTACACTGACCTCACTGCCACGTGCCAGCGACCTGCCTGAAGCTGAACTGATACTGAGATAGACTCTAGAGAGAGGTTGAGCGAAAAGGTCGCCGAGCAAAAATATTCAAAATAAGGGTTTAGCTTTAGGCAGCTGGCAGCAACCAGCCCTCCATGATGATGGGATCGCGCTGCTTCCGCTGTGGTGTGGCCTGTGCGCGGTGGCAGCCCCCCGAAAAATGACGGCGCTACCAAAATAGAGACACCGATGTCAAATTCATGCCTACTGGCGATGCACCCGGACGCCCCGGGCGAGAGAGTACAGACTCTCGCGCGGGCGAGCTGTCAAAAGCGCCTGCGCCGCGCCGAAAGACCGCGGGGCCCTCGAGCCACCCAGCCCGACGCTGCGGACACGGCGGAGAGGAGCTGCTGTGGCCCACTGGTGGCGCCTCACGGCCGCCTCAGTCCCACACCAGCGCCTGCACGAGCAGGACGCCATTCAGCAGCAGGCAGGCTGCAAACTGCGCCAACAGAATCGGGTTGCCCTCCGCCAGCGTGAGGGTGGTGAAGATGCGCGCCGCGTTGCCGCCCGTGCTGAGCGCGGCCGAGATCGGGCTCCAACCGCCGCGCGAGCGCGCCGCAAAGTTGCGCCAGACTTGCGGCACGAGCGCCACCGACGTGATGAAGGCAGCCACGCCCTGCAGCGGCCCGAGGAAAGCCGTTGGAAGCAGCGACGCAGCGGCGAGGCTCGCAGCGGGCAGCAGCGCGATCGGGGGCAGCGCCCGCTGGTAGCGGGCAGTGAGCGCCAGCAGGACGGCGGACTGCAGGCCTACCAAGCGTGGTCCCACCTCCGTGCACCAAAGTCAGGGCGAGAAAAGCCGCACGCAGCCGAACACGCGTCCTCTCGAGCGCCAGTCGGAATACACGGGTCTGTGCTCCATCTATAATTGCAGGCCCAGCGCCGCAAAGTCGAGGAAGGTGGAGAGAGAGTAGCCGTTCCGGATGTGGTACACCACAAAGATGAGGAAGCCAGACAGGTTGAGGCTCCAGGTGCTGACGCTCATCCCGTCGGCGTTCTTCTTCGCCAGCGTGGTCGCGATCATGGGCGTGTAGATCGCCATCGCACCGGCGGTGAGACCCCAGCCGAGCGCGCTGGCAAGCACACTGGCAGACGCCTCGCCGGCAGCCGCTCCGCCCCGGAGCGTGTGCACAGACGCCCGATTGCTGACCGTCGCCGGCGCGCTCGTGCGCAGCGGAGGAAGGGATCGAGCTGAAGGGACGAGTGCGGCACTCGCTGCAAGCAGGGTGGCGAGCATATACACACAGCACCTCCACCTGCCAGCCTGCTGGTGCCTGGCTCACGTGAAGAGCCAGCCCGACCCGTTGTCATTCCGGCGCGATTTATTTCTTCAAACGCAGAGATGAATTGGACCTCCCTGCTCCTCGCTTGCGCGGCCGTGGCGCGCGCAGCAGAGGATGCCCCATCGCCGCCGGCCAACAACCCCATGCAAGGTACTCCTTCGATCGAACTGACCTCACGCACGCACCGAAATCGCGCTCCCCGATCACGCCGCTCAGCTCACATCTCGCTTGCGCTCGCACCTCACGCCGCTCACGCCTCAAACTGACCTCACCCCGCGATCGCGGCTCAGCTAATACCGCCTCGCTCGCGCACTCGCGGCCCACGTCCGAGAGCCGCCCACGATCGCGTGGCCGCAGACCCGGCGATGATGCAGAGCGCGCTCAAGATGATGCAGAACCCGCAGATGATGGAGCACATGAAGGTGATGATGAAGGACCCGGCGGTCAAGGAGCGGATGAAGCGCATGCTGCAGAAGCTCGGTCCGTCGGCCGCGATCGGCGGGGGCGCGGCGGCGACAGACGACGAGGCGATCGAGGCGATCTGGGAGCGGATGCAGGCGGCGCTCGCCGATCCGGAGCGGCTGCAGAAGCTCTCCGAGACGGCGAGCTCGGAGCAATTTCAGAGCCGGATGAAGCAGCTGGCGGAGGATCCGGAGTTCGCCTCGGCGGCGGGCGAGTACGTGGATGAGATGAAGGAGGAGCTGTCGTCCGAGCTGCTGGCGGGCAGGGCGGGCGCGGCGGGCGAGGCCGGGCTGGCGCTCGACGACGAGGACGACGACGAGGAGGAGGACGCGGGCGACGAGGAGTGATGACAGGAGGGGCGAGGCGCCGTTGGTTCCGTTTTCGGTAATAAAAAAGAAATCATGATGCCGGGGGGAGGATAGAGTCGGTCGGCCTTCGAGCTGGCGAAGCCGGGAGTGACGCGTGGACAAGCTTGTCACTGACTGCTACAGATGAACGAGAAGGTCGGCTACCCTGCGGCGCGGCGGGCTCGCGCGGGTTCGATGACGTCTTCCGCCGGCGACGTCATTGGAGCGCTGCACAAGCCGCCTTCGATGGCGCCGGCTGAGAAGGTCGCGGCGGACATGCGACTCATGCGCGTCCTCCTGCTAGACGCAATCGCCCCCAAGCCCAGCGCAAATGCGCCCGGCGAGTACGACGTGCTCAGCTCGAGTGAGCCGGAGGGCCACCTTCCGGCCGGCTCGCCGCTGGGCAGGCCGGAGCAACAGCCGGCGCTGGAGCGTGCGATGAGCAGCGTAATGCTCGACGGGCTGCCGCGGCTGCCGGCCAGCGTCACCGAGATGCTCACCGAGGTGGGATCCCTCCCGCAGGACGCGGCCGAGAGCCTGAGGCTGATGAGCGAGCGCGCCGGCAACATGGACGCGAGCACGCTGCTCTCGTCCGCCCAGTTGCTCGGCGAGCTGATGAGCCAGGCGAACCTCGCGCTCGCCCAGCAGACCGTGCGCGCGTGGCGGGCAAACCTGCGCGCCGACGCGGGCTGCACGGAGGACACCTCCACCGGCGCGGTGGTTGGGAACCAGACCTTTCGGATGGCCTTTGACGCGCTCCTCGCAAGTGGCCGCGCCGCCGCCGAGATCCGCGACGCAATCTCCGAGCAGGAGATCGAGATTGTGCTGACGGCGCACTCGGGGGTGCAAGCGGCGGACGCAGGCCACGCACCGGACACGTCGTGGACGCGTCCAGTAGGCGCACCCGACCGAGGCGCAGCGGCGGACGATCCTCAAGAAGCACCAGCAGATCGTGGCGCTGCTCGGCCAGCACGATAAGGGAACCGTGCTCACCCCCGGCGAGGTGACCGAGCTCGAGGAGGCAATCTCGCGCGAGCAGGCGCGGACACACTCCGAGAACACTCCCGGCGACTGTCGCTGCGTGTGCCACCTCTGATCCTTCCCCCGCCCTCCTGCTTCTTTCTTATACCAACGGCGGCGCCGGGCCGATCCGGAAGAAGAGAAAGCAGCGGGCCGCGTCTTCCCCGTCTGTACCCGCTCTCCCCCCCCCCCCCGCCCCTGGCTGGCAGCTCGCGGCGTGGCGCACCTCCAATGTGCGCCGCTCCAAGCCGACGGCGGAAGGCGAGGCGCGCAACGGACTGATGGTGATTGAGGAGACCTGCTGGGACGCCGTGCCAGAGCACTACCGCCGCCTTGACCGCGCCCTCCGCCGGATCGGCCAGCCGCCGGTGCCGTACGACAAGGCCATCGGACACACACACGCACACACACACACACACACACACACACACACACACACACACACACACACACACACACACACACACACACACACACCACCGCTCACCCACGCGCACTGGGCCTTGCACTGTGAATGCCGTGGGGCTCCTGTCATTAGACGCGGAGACGCGAGGGTCGCCCGGCCCTTGCCCCACCACCTCGTGTGTGTGGAGAAGTTTACCGTACCGTACCTTACCTAGGCCATCGTCAAAGTGTCGACATGGATGGGCGGAGACCGCGACGGGAACCCAAACGTCACGGCCGTCACGACGGGCCACGTGCTGTGCCTGCAGCGGGCGCGGGCAGCGGAGCTGTACCACAAGGAGGTGGAGAAGCTGCTCTATGAGCTCTCGCACACCGGCCCCGTCTCTGCGGAGATGCGCGCCGCCGTCGAGCAGATCACCGGGCCGCGCCAGCCGGGCGTGCACCGCAAGGTCTGCTCCCCCCCGTCCACCTTGCACTCTGAATGCCGGTGCCATCTCCCTCCTGTCCGGGCGTGAGGGTCGCCTGGCCCTTGCCCCACCGCCTGACGCCCCTTCCCTTGCCGTAGGTCTTCCCGCACGAGGACGGGTACGGCCTCGCGTGGACCTTCCAGACCGGGTGCCAGGTCGCAAGCCCCCGCCCCGATCCCGAGCAGAGACCACCCTCGTCACAGCCGGGCGCGAGAGACGCGGCGGGGAGGCGGCGGCGGAGAGGCAGAGAGGCGGCAGAGGAGAGGAATCGACGTGGCCGAGCGCCCGCCTGCCCACGCCCCTCCTCCACACAGCACGACCCGGCCTCGTCCCGACCCCACCAGGAGGACGAGCCATAC